TGCTGCAGCCCTGCATTGCAGAGATAAGACCACCGCCTTCACAGAAGCCTGTTTCTTGGGAATTTGAAAGTTGTCCTCATACTCCACTGTTGACACACAATGTCATCTGTCATCCAGCTACAAAGGCCCTGAGCAACCTCCTAACTGTCCGACAAGACACTCCAGCGTTAGTTCAAACTGTCTCTGTCGAGATACTGTCAACAGAAGAAGAAAACTGTGTCCGTGTGTGTGTGTTTGCCTTGCGTGATTTATGTAGTACAGCCACTTACACGCTGTAGGGCCTTGTAACCCTGACAGTATGCCTGTACCGCTTTATGACAGTAAGCGGCGGGCCTGTAATTCCTGGCCTCCTCCTTTCATCTTGATAACCTCTTATCAGAGCAGAGCAGCACACTCGCACTGTGGCGGCAGCCACATCCCTGCCCGGCTGTCCACGCTGCCACAGAGACCTCATCTCACTCTGGTACTACTGCTCTCATTCACCCAGGCTGCAGTGTTTCACATCCAGCACATTCACATTTAACTGTGCCATAACTGCCATTAAAAAGGAAAACCTAGAGGGGACAAACCTAAGTTGTCAACACAATAAATTGATAGCACAAGCTGGAGCCTATCCAGCTTTGCCTGAAGTGGGTTTACACTGCACAAATTAGCATCCACAGTTTAAATTCCCTGCATACCTTGATTACACGATGATGTCAGACAAACTTTAAGCTTTGTATAACAGAATCCTGAATTGAATTTTAAAGTTTTACCTGGTACTCTATTGCATTGCAGAACAATAAGTAGTATTTGCAAATAGTATTACCAACAGCCTTAGTGTAAATGTTCCTGGAAGAATCTGAATTGGTCTTATACGGTAGATGAAGAGCAGATAATAACTCAGACAGTATTCACCGCTTGTGTGTGTGTATTGCTTGGTTATTTATTTAGTATAATCACTTGCTCTTAGTCTTATTATTGAACCAACAGCAGCCTTTTGACAAATCTCATAAAAGGGAAAAAAACAAAAAAAACACTGACAGGTGCGAACAGAGCAGGTTTCTTCTTCACTTATCTACATGACAACAAAGAAAACATGACACAGGTGTCATCAGAAGTTATACGGAGGTGATGAGGAGGACATTTTATTACAGCTCTGCTTTTTCCTGATATCCAACTGTTTATGGGTCCCCGGGACATTGACTTCACTGACTTTTACTACTTTAACAGTTTATTTCTGTTGTTCCAGGATACTAATTTCACAGCAACCGGTGATACTGTGTGTGGAACGTTTAGGGAAATGAAAGGCTTAGTTAGAATTTTTGTGTAACAGTTGCCATGACCTGTATATTGATTTGCATCTGGCCTAACTGATACCACTTATTAGCCATCGCTGCCTTGTCGGACGCATTTCAACTTATCTGCCTCATTCCTAAAAAAAACCCCAGTGTTTTTTTTTTTTCAAAAAGGAAAAAAAGAAAGGCATCAATTCTTCCCAACTGTTTTTCTCCCCTGATTTCCCTGAAAACCGTAAATGAACAAAGAGAGAGGAAAGTTGGGGAGCTGCTTTGACTATCAAATGACTTTGACAGTGTCGGGTTTGTGCGCAGCCAGGCCGTGCTCAGACCATATCTCTCCCTATGATTGCAGCGTCTTCGCCGATTTGCATTACTGTGTTCCATTCTAAGCTTTGCTGGACCACAAAGAAATTGTGTCTTTGCATTTTATATTTGCTTTGTTCAAATGTCTGTCAAACTCTTTTCCATGTGGGCTTGGTCTTATCAGGGGCTGTATGCACATTTCATCAACAGACAAAAAAAGTGTCCATCCTGCATGCACACCGCAGGAAGCGGAGTTTATTTTATATTGCATTAGTATATGTATTTCTTTTAAGATCTGGAAAAAGACAATATAACACACAAAATATGATGTGCAATGGATCTGATGATTCCTATCGACTACGTGTAGTTGTTTCATACTGGCCTTGGTTTTGGTCCTGATATGCTTTTTATATACGGTGCTTCCTCTGTGGAAATCATCTGAGATACAAACACGTTATCAATACTACACAAGCAGCACACACAGCCATAAAGGAAGAGCAGAGGAACTAAGATTTAAAGCACCTTCAGCTTTCGCACGCGCTCCAGATGCCACAACTATTTATTACATTATTTATATCTGTAGATGACACGCTTAAATGGGATTTTAAACTCATGCCTGTACATATGCAACATCTAAGCCCCACACAAGCTCATTCTCTCTGGACCAAAGAGGTGTGTCTTTTAAAAAAATGTTTGTCCCCAACCCCTCCCACGGACTGTCTCGTTGCCCTAAACTTTGCTGGTAGTTAGAGAACTTTTTTAGTTGTAGCCATCAGCCTACAGTGAGGTCCAGCTGTGCACCACCTCCCACCTGGCTGCATACATTTTTCGGCTCTAAAAGCTCACTGCACCTATCACTCGTCGGTGGCGTCCACTCAGGTAGGTGACCGGTCGGCACTTTGCCTTCTGTTCTCATATTTTCACCCCAAACACCTGGTGTAACCAGCTTGATTCGTTAAATACAGCTGGCTAGTTTTGTTGGTTAAGAATAATTGTGCATGTGAAACTTTCACTGGCGAGAATTACGATCATCTGAGGCAATTTATTGCTTGGCAGACTGTGAATTGTGGAGATACGAGAGGCGAGAACTTTGCATGAGGGCAACAGAGAATCAGTTTCCTCCTCTGTGAAAGTGACACTTTTTGTTTTCCGTTCATTATTTTCAATTGAATTTTCAATAATTACCACAAGTATATGTAACGGTAGAGATGAATTATAATATTAATTTAATTCGCCCACTGCACGAGTTCAGCTTGAAGTCGCTTACATCCAGATCAAAAACAAGTCGACTGCATTACACGGTAGATATATGTTCAGTGTGTTTTAATGCAAGTAGCATAATGGCAATCTATTAACATTGGAGTTTAGGGGCATAACACTCAAAGTAATTAATTGTGTTGTGATATGAGCAGCTGGGTGTGAGTTTCAAATTATTTCATCTATCCCTCTGGGGTTGTTTCTTTTTTAGTTTTGTCTCTTTTGATCAGTCCTCCACAACGTGCCGCCTCACCCCGCTGTGTCACTGCGCTTGTTGCGTTTCTCATCAAACAGATTTCTATTAATCAGATGAGATTAGTTTCATGTAGTATCAGTGGGGCTGGATATATTTAGCATTATAATAATGCTGTCTATCAGATTTTCTCAGAGTTTATCAGCCAGTATCAGTCTCTTCTCTTTCCTCTTCTCTTCCCTCTAAAGATACGGCGCGGGGAGAGGCCTCATCCGCTGTTGTTATAATGCACATTATGATGCTGTGGGACGTCGTCACTGGTATTTTGGAGCAGAATTTGTTTTTGATTCGACTTTTAAAGCAGTTTTCAGAAAGGGGCCTTCATCTCAAGCTCTAAAAATCTGCTCGAAATTTGCGTTTTTCTTTGATAAAAATTGAATCGCCCCCAAAAAAACAAAAACAGAAAGGGTTATTAATCACACAAATAAGTGAGAGTGTGACAGAGACTGCTGTTAACACTCTGACTTGAAAAGAAAAAAAATCTGCCAGCAAACACCATTACACTTTGTGTGCGCTGCTGTGTTGTTTGTCCACACGGCCAGTCATCCCTATGGGCACGTCTTTTGCATTCCTTTAACTGGCACACCTATTGTAGTGGGGCCACTTGGTAACCATTTGGTCACTGGCTGTGTCGCTACATTTATAGACTCGTTTATTTTTAGTTTTTACTTTCAGCCGCAGTCAAATGAGGATCCTAGAAAAGGAAGTTTGAAAAAGCATGCTGTCGAGAGATCTTGTCCCTGATAACTTCAAGTTGCACTGGTTGTTGTGAAGAGAGAAGCTCGGTGATAATGCATCGACTTCAATCAAAGTCACGGCCTCTCTCGTTCTCATCTGAATTAAGAGAGTCGCAAACCTCCAGTGTGCGAGGAGTTTGGTGGTGTCTCTGTCAAGACCTTTTGACAACATGTCTCCATAAAGACTGAGAGCCACACACCTAAAAACAAAGTCAATCGATGCTCGTGTCCTTATATTCGTTTTAAACTGTGCTAACTGTAAAGACAAATGCATTAGTGTAAGGGTGTAGAGTGCAAAGAGTACATGAATGAATAATAAATGACTCGTGTACAATGAGGCTTGTGCACAGCTTAGATCTTTTCATCCTGGGTTGGTGCATTTGACAGCAAAAACAATTTAGATTTCTCACTATACTCGCCACAGGCTGTTTTACCTGCCAACATGGAAGATTCATCAGAGCAGTCCCACTGGGTGTCTCCATCCCTGCTCAGCTCAGACCCCCTGGCCGCTTTCTCCTCTGATTCTGGCCTGTTGCCTCCGGGAGAAGAGGGTGAGACGTTCTTCACCGGCCAGGACACTGACTACACCAGCCTGCCCTCTTTCTTCTCCACCCCAAGCCTCAGCCGAGCGCCAGCTCCTTACCGACACGGCTCTGGTCAGTGCTTCCAAGCCGTCACCCAACAAATCCATCCTCTAGTTCGCCTTCTAAATTGTGATTTGACTCTTATTTCTTCTTTCCACAGTTCGACCAATGTTCAACTCACCGAGCCTGCTCAGCAACCTTCAGCTGCTGGATGGGCTGCCCAGCCACTCTCTGAGCTCGCCCTACAACCCCCCAGTCTCCACCTGGAGCAGCAGCCCTCTCACTAAGACGCCATTGCATTCGCACACCCCGACCTCCCTCTACACCCCTGGAATGACCTCCTCTTTCACCACTTCCAGAGATGGATACTCGTCTCCGGGCAGAGAGGGCAGGGAAAGTCCCCATTTTCAGGAGGCCCTCAAGGCAGAGCGCCTGAGCCCACTTGGGGGGTCTGGGGCCAGCAGCAGCTTTCTCAACCTGACTCCTGCAGCTGGCAGCGTCTACACTCCATCATCCCACCCACACATGCTAAGCCCCTACAGCTCATACATGAGTGGCCCACAGGACTACAGCTCCGCTGCCCTCTACTCCAGCCCCGGAGCCTGGATCAACCCCTCGTACTCCCCTAAACTCCGTAACAAGATGAGGATATCCACTCCAGGTGAGGATATATTGACAGGTGCCTCTTTTTCTTTTCCCTGGGTGGACCATTTTGGCACAATATTCTATAAAATGAAAATGCTCTGAAAGTTCAGCCTTGACGGTTGGTGGCTGTTTTGGAAATTATCAGATTTTTCTCAGCAGATGCAGATTTCATGGAACTGTAGATGGTTACATTTACAAGAAATTTGAATAAACTTTCAACCCTTGTAGCTCTCCCAAAATAGAAATTCGAACATCTGTACTTCAACAACAACTGAGCATCTGCAAGTTCCAAAAACAAGAGAGAGAGAGAGAGTTGTGAAACTAAAACATTTTGTTCTATATTGAGTATAACAGTCTGCCCATTATATAATGTGTCACTGAGATATCTGCACATGAAATAATATATTAAGAAACATTCATCCGTTATATGTTACACTCTGTAAACTGTCATTATTTCTCTGAACAGAGGCCAGAGAGTGTGTCAACTGTGGAGCCACAGCTACCCCTCTGTGGCGCCGGGATGGTACAGGCCACTACCTGTGCAATGCCTGTGGACTGTACCACAAGATGAACGGCCAAAATAGACCTCTAATCCGACCCAAGAAGAGACTGGTATGACAGGCTGATACGGGCCTCGTTTGCCTCCTTTGTAAACCATCGAACAAATAATCCGTCGTTACCAGGGTAGTTTGAAAAGCTCGACTATATCCTTTTCTGTGTCTCAGATTGTCAGCAAGCGCGCAGGTACCCTCTGTGCCAACTGTCACACAAGCACAACAACGCTGTGGAGACGCAACGCCAACGGGGAACCTGTGTGTAATGCCTGCGGACTCTACTTTAAACTGCATAACGTGAGTCAGTCATTTCAGATGAATCCACAAACACCTGGTAAATATTTTTTTAAAAATTAATTAATTTAAAAAAATTCTCCTTCATTCCTCACTACAGGTTAACCGGCCTCTCACCATGAAGAAGGATGGAATTCAAACACGTAACAGAAAAGTCTCCAGCAAGAACAAGAAGAGCAAGAAGGCCGCCTTGTTGGAGCCGTACATGGAGGTGACTCAGCCGCCCTCCCTGGACGACAACGGTGGGCCCTTCTCCCTCGGCCCCGGGACTCTCCTCACCTACAGTCACTCGCCTCACCTCATGCCTACACCGTCCCCGATCCATCCCTCTGCCAGCTTACCCTACACGCACCACCTCAACTCTGGCATGGTGCCCACACTAGTGTGACATAACAGGACGGGCACCTGTGAATACTCAGACACGAGCCCGCTTCCTTGTATTGCCAGTTATTTGTACATATGTGTTGTTGGCTGTCATGCGAATGGAGTTTCCTGTGTATTTTACCTGCGTTTCATCCACATGTTGTGTTACTGTGCTGACTGGGCACTTGTGTGAAGTCCGATAAAATCACTCAGGTTTTGGCATATGTAAACACCCTAATAAGGGAATTCTCCCAGCTGTAAATACAAACACAAATCTGATTTACGGTATCTGTGTGACAATTCTTCTTTTATTATTCTTAAAGTAAAGCTATGCCTTAGTTTTGTGCTTCAGGGGTCTGTTTTGTATTTGCATAATTCTTATTACCATATTAAAACTCTAAAGAAAAAAAATGCGTGACTTATTCTGTTTGACTTATGAAGGCTTTTGTTTTAAGTCATTTGAATCCTCAGCTCTCTGAGCTAACCACAGCAAGGCCTGCTGTGGGAGGTTATTGTACTCCCCTGCCCTGGTATAATGGTGTCTTTGTGCTGGCAGTTCTCCACTTTGACAGTGTAATAGTACATAGCGGGTATGCAAATCATCTTTTCCGCATAAGTGACAAACATTCAACTAAAGTGCACCACTTATGGCTGCTTTTATATTTAGACGAGCTACAGCACAACTGGACACACGAGGTCACGTTTGTACTTTTCATTACTCATCTCTGTTTGAATGTGCAGAAGGGGATTTTTGTTTCAAATTTACAGTTTTCCACTTTCATGTCAAAGGTCTCAAACAACAGAGAACGTGTTTAGAAATCAGAAGACAACAATACGTTTCATGACGTCGCTGCCCTTTGCGTGTTTTATTTTTGCCCATGTAGGCCAAAGAAAGCCGAGCACATGTAGATTGTGAGGTGAATTCTGCCTTTAGTGAAGTAGAAGAAAAAAATGCACACATGCACATTTTTCTCACCAACATTGAAACTCTTACTTCAGTAAATGGATCAGGCTATTACCAGTCAAATTTACTTTAACAAAGTAAAGACGAGATCACGGCTAGATTGACAAAATTGTAAAAATATATTACAAAGGAATTAAAAGGGACTTGTGAACATTTAATAAACAAGGGCTAGTTTGACTTTTACTTTTTCACTTTAAGCTCTAACAGTGCGTGACATATTAAGGTGCCATTATGTTTTATTTTGAAAAACCCTAGAGGGACAGCATTCAAAGACGTGCTGTGTAAGAACGTCTGTGATTGTGTTAACCAGCTGAATGCATTGTTATCTGAACAAACACAAAGCACTTAACAATCTAGGTGCACTGACTCCTCAGCCTCGTTTTTGGCTTACCTCTCTGTAGTTTCTGACCTTTGTGCTACAGCAAGTTGAGAAGCAGGAAATAAAAAAAAGAAATCCAGATAAACTAAAATTTAAATGCCTAAAATTATTTATAAGTACAAGGGTACATGCATTTACATAAAACAGGCTTAAAGAATGATTTTTTAAAAGTTGATATAATATAATATTTTAATATTCAGACACTTGGAGCTGATTTGATTGTTTTTCTAGAGGAATATGGCTTTAAAAAACAAACAGGGCAGGCTGTTTGATAATGGACACGTTGCCCAGCAGCATTGCCCTATTAGGGTTAAATTAGTACACACAGGCAAAGCTCTCTGGCACAATTTTACGACAAAACGCAAGATGCATATTGTTCTGTGCAAAGAAACACCTTGAATTCAGGGTCTTAACAGACTCTTGCCTTAACAGGTTATCGTGGCGATCGTGGCTCAAGAGTTGGGAGTTCGCCTTGTAATCGGAAGGTTGCCGGTTCGAGCCCCAGCTTGGACAGTCTCAGTCGTTGTGTCCTTGGGCAAGACACTTCACCCGTTGCCTACTGGTGGTGGTCAGAGGGTCCGGTGGCGCCAGTGTCCGGCAGCCTCTGTCAGTGCGCCCCAGGGTGGCTGTGGCTACAATGTAGCTTGCCATCACCAGTGTGTGAATGGGTGGATGACTGGTTGTGTAAAGTGCTTTGGAGTCCTTAGGGACTAGTAAAGCACTATACAAATACAGGCCATTTACCATTTATGTAAGAAACGCCTAATACTAGTGTATACATGTCTGTGTACTTTTTATGCCGAGCAGCAGGGCTGGGGTTGCTCGCTCAGTACTGGGGGGTGGCTGATAAGTTATCACTGAGGCCACAGACCCCAAACCATCCACCTGCTGCTGGCACCGCCACTCTAACACTCCCTGTCAGTTAGTCATTGAGGGCCACAGTGTCTCTTTAGGTGTCAAAGACAAACACACATATCACTGGAATCATCTGAAGGACCGGTAACTGGGTGCTGTATGTGAATAGGCGCTGGGGTGTAGAAGAACAGTTTGGTTACAAAACCAGTGTGTCATGTTTGGGCCAAGTGAATCATGTCATGTTTCATAATCTGCGAGTATGCTCACAGAATGCTTCCCTCGAGACAAATCTATAAATTATCACCCACGTCGCCCACTGATTCGTGCACGCTTCACTGCAGACCTCGAGGAGAAATAAGATTTTCTTTTATGCATTTGGTTTCATCTCGGCGAGTACGGCCCTGTGAACATCTGGGCAAGTCACCTACTCATAACGCTGCATGACACGCACCACTGGGTGTATTGTTGATAAACCAAGTCTTTGACAGAATTTATCAATAGAAGCGTTTTTTGCTTGTTTTTTGTTCAACTCGCTTAACAAATCCACAGTAGAAAAAATAATATGAAAAATGTTTCCTCCTAGTGCAGCTTCATTCATTAGCAGCCAACCGTTACAATACATAACCCAACTGATTCCCCAAAGACCTTGATTATGGGAATAATTTGTGATAGTGCCCTGTGAAATTACGGAGCGAGATGAGGGTGGGTTTCTATTTGAATCCGTTTACAGCATCTACTCAAAGTTGACTCTAAACCACACTAAAGTGGACCAATCCGCAGTGCTCACCTCTGCAGGAGTTATCGTGAGCAAAACAAACACGAGACAAGTGCGGGGGGGAGGGGGAGACATGATCTTTTTCTTTTTAAAGGAATAAGATGATTTGGCAAGCACATCCATAATTTATACTCTTTTCCTCAACTGTCTGTATCTGCTGTTTATCTGCTGCAGCTGTCAGCTCTGCTCTGGGGAAATGGCAACAAATGACGGGGATAGATTAGCAACCACAGGCCTTCTCCAGTTCACTCACAAGGCCATCCGTTAGAGCCTTCTCTCTCCCGCTGCCTCACTGCTTGTCTCCTTTCCCATTCGTACTATCATTATATCATCCAGAGCTCGCAGAATAATCTTGTGAAAAGCTGTTCTAGCGTGGAAAGTGGGTGATTTAACTACTTGTTGTGGTGTGTGATCAGACAGATTAAACCCATTACTGGGAGAATTCACGTTCTCTGTGTCTTATTTGACTTTCTTGTGGGAAAAATACAAAAGGAAAAAACTGTGATGGAAGAGCTTGCAAACACTACAGCTGTCATGTCTGAAATTACTTGTAACTGAAAGCAGAGTAGCACAGCTTAGTTTTAAGCATGCTCCTTTTGGAATATGTGGTACATTAGCACCCCCATGTGGAGAAAGTGCAACACTGCTGTTAAGCGAGGCTGTGCAGGATGTAAAACTGTACACATCTTTACACTTCAAACTAGGACACAAAGACCTCCTTCCCCTGGGCCATTCGGACTGTAAAGCAATTCCACCCAACACCCCACCCACGCCACTGAGTAACCCTCATCACTCAGGCCACTCACACATGGATTCTATACTCAGACATAGTCCATTGCACTACTTCCAAGCACTTTGCAACCCGTCCTCTAATGTGTCTTTTTAATATGTGCCTTCCTCCTGTTTTGTTTAAACTCCTCTTGTCTGTTATTTATTCTTGTTGCCCTATTTTTATTCCATGCACACTTGGTGTGGAGCACCCACTGACTCAATAACTGCCCAGAAGCATTAGCAGAATATCTTCCTTGCATGTATATCAGACCTTGGTATATATCTTTGTGTACATGTTGATATGGTGACAAAGACAGGTGGATTTTATATTTTCAAGAAGATTTTAATGCACATTGTGTAAAAGAATACATCTCATTTAATTCCAGCTTTTAAGATACTTCATATGGAGTCACTTCATTTGATTTGTGGCAGAACAATAGCAGCACAAGTGAAAGGGGAGGTTTACAAGACAGTAGCGAGCACTGCTACGATGTATGGTTTATAGACGGTGGCACTGACACGAGAACAAGAACAAGGTGAAAGTGGCAGAGCTGGAGAAGTTAATGTCACAGTGACAGCTCAGTTAGTGGACTTGGTGAACAAAGTATGGTTAATATGGAGCTGCCAAGCAGAGGAAAAGAGGCAGACCACAGATGTAGTGAAGGGGGCTGGCATGGGGTTGATGTGACAAGACTGTGCTAGGAGTAGGGCAAAATGGCAGCAGATGATCCAATCTGATCCCTTAGAGGAACAGCCAAAAAAACAAAAAAAAAAAAAAAAGAAAAACACTGAATACAATCATGGATATGTAGCCTGTTGCACATGGATAATTTTAGATACTAGTGAGAGATGGAAAAAGTTAATTTCACATGCATGTCTCTGGACTGTTGGAGGAAGAGAACTCACAGGCCTCTGCTAGAGCATAGATTTTATTTTTTTGGATAGCCTCTGCACTCCATACAGTTCACTCAGCAAAACCTTTCAAAACAGACTTAAAAACTCAAGAACAGTCAAAAGAAACTGAGAATTACACATTAAAGGGGGGAATACAACATAGTCTCAGTCATACACGTTGTTCCCTGAATAATACAGGATAAAAAGAGAGAGAGAGAGCTTAGACTAGCTGAATCACTTTCACTGCCTTTTTATTAGGTTCATTTAAAGCATTTGCCCTCTAAACGGGCAAATCAGCTACTAAACTGTTGTGCGTTTAAAAATAAAATAAAAACACATTGGTCAAAGCAAGGCGAGCAGGTGGTCTGCAACAGCTCACCAAGTTACACATTATGAAGCTTCTCACAGAATGACTTTGCCCACCCACTATGGTCACTGCACATGTGGACTGGGCTTCCATGTAAACATTAACCGCTTCCCTCCCTCGGTTTAGCATTCCACAGGGTGTTCAGTGACGGCAGAGAAGTAGCACCTTCACTGTTAATCTGTCATGAGCATGCCAACCAGCAGCCCTGTTACTAATGCCACTCCAACAAATAGCCATCTCTTCAGAGACTCCCCAGAGCTCCTAGTAGACATCCCTTTCCCAAATATCTCTGTAAAGCGGTCCTGGAAAAAAAAAAAGATTAGACAGTGTTTTAAATGACTTTTTCCCCCCCTTTAAAAGCACAAAAGTTGCACACCTCATGTCAACTTCATCCCCTGCCGACTTACCCATCCTCCATTTCGTTGGATCCACAGACTAATGTGATCATCTAGATACGCAGTCATCCAGTCTGCAATGTCGGGTACCAGCTCACCCATATTGCTGTCAATACAGTCCAGACACATTGCAGAACCAAAGACAAACAGACCAATTATACGCCCCCAATTGATTCCATCCCTGAACAACTCCTCCATCACACTCTCGAAGCATTGCTGGGCTGTGTCTGGCGTGATGTTGAGGTGTGAAGCAACGTCCCTAAAAGACTGTGTGAACAGAAAACCAAACTGCTCTCCTGAGTCTAGAAGAGCTGATTTTAAAGCCTCTATGCCAACGTACGCAGGCAGGGATTTGCCCAGGTCTCTCTCAGTCCTTTGGCCCACACTGGTTGGACTCAGAAGGGAAGTTGGGTGATTCTTCTGAGACAGTTTATAGCTTATAAAGAACTCCACCAGCTCTCGGTTCCTGCACTGCATCTCCACTCTGGACCTCCTCTGCAGGGCCAGGCTAATCAAATGCCACGATCTCTCCTGCCAGTCATACCAGTGTATCATCTGGCACATTAGGCTTCACTTGGAGTGGTCACCTGGAAGCACAGACGGATATTGCAGTTAGCTTCATTCTTTTAAAAATTTAGCAACTCGTGCAACTGTGTTTTAGCATCCATCTCTATTGATCATGGTCTTTACTCTTCACCAATTGTAAAAAAAGGTAAACGTATGTATGAGGAAACAACTGCAACTGTGGCAGAAATTTGGAAAATAACGTTTTATGCGAGCTAACCGCAGCTAACTAGTAGTTTTTCAAGCTTAGCCCTGAACTGTTCACCAGCATCACTTCTATACCAGAGCCTCTGAATGCCAGCTAACCATCGCTGACAGCTCCAGCTAGGAAGTCGCACGCTTGGATTCTACCAGTTTTAGCTTCACGTGCTAACCAGCTGCCACACACTCCGCATGAAACGCAGCAAAATTAGAAAAAAACTAAACCAATAAACAACTAAAAATTCTATTTAAGCCGTGAACATGCGGCGCCTCCACTCACCATTATACCTAGAGCTGCTAAAACCTTGTTCTCCGTTTGAGAAAGCAGCTATGAAGTTTTAAAAACTACTGCTGCGAATACTCCAGATAAACGCACCTTTCTGAAGCGTCACACTTTGTGGCCTGGGTAGCGATGCACGCTGGCGGTTGGACAGTTGTACGGTAGCAGCAGCCAGGAGTCCCACCCACTCATACAAAGCGACCAATCAAATAAGGAGACATTCCGGAAATTAGGAAGTCGCTGAAATTTCATTTAAAAACATGCAGCTGCATCTGTTGTGACACTGACACTCAGTAAATTATACGGAGTGGCACTTTACCTGGTGAGTTAAATGTTCGTGTTTAATGAATAGGGGCCTCTTATTGTAAAGTCTTCTCATTTTGGAGCACTGGGCAACTTATAAACAAATGTGTCATGTTAGAAAAAAAACAGTATGCCCTAACGCTATCATGGAAGAGAAAGTGCGACTTCTGGTTGCCCAAAATGCCTTAAATTTACATTTATATACATACCTGTACTCTCACTCTTAGAAACTGTTATTAAGTAAAAAAAAAAAAAAAAACATTTTCTGCAGAAATACCTTTAAGCAGCTATTTTCACCTGGTCCAAAAGCTTAATAGCACAGAAAGAGCAGCAATAAACTTTCTTATTAATCAAACACCTTTATTAAAATGTGTCCATAAGGAATTAACATATCCTACATTTTCTAAATGTTAAATGACAGTATGGTGCAGTTCTTTGTCACAGTTGGGGGAAAAATATGCAAATAGTTCAGTTTACATATTTCTTATATGGTGTGACAGCAAACCAGTGAGTGATACAGATGTGCATGAAGAAACTAACAAGGAGCAATGGCTAAAAATATATACACAACACTACCTACATAATGCTGTTTATTTCGTTTCAACACTGTTCAGAAAAAAAAAATCAGCTGCTGATTTAGTGACCCACACATTCTGGTCTACTATTTGTAACTGTTGAGTCATCTTTGTTTTAATACACCCCTTTACTACTCAACCAAGGCACACTGCAAGGCTTGCATTCCCATCTTGCAAAGAAATCTCCATCTCTCTAGAAGCATTATCTGCAGGTTTTGTTTCTTCAGTCATGTTTAATGGTTCCTTGGATTGGAAACTCTCGTGCGCATTTACATCGATATCTCCATTCTCAGTGGGTCTGTCATCTGTGTTTGTTTCACTGTCAGAGTCTATGGAAATAGTCTCTGTGCACGTACTAAGTTTTAAGGTACAATTTAGTGTCTCACTGTGTTTGTTTTGGTCCGTCTTTGGAGTACGACAACTGATGCCTACGGCCTTCTTAGCAGAGGTACCAACAATTTTGCTTTCCTCAAAATTCAAGTTATGCTTAACTTTCTTTAGAGCTTGCATGTCAAAGCCGAGCAGCACCGACACCTTCTTGGTCTTGCAGTTTCTCACGCACGTGCTTTGCTTGGTTGCAAAGTGTGTAGCGATGTCGGATTTCCACAGCCACAGACTCGCCGACAGCTTGTCCTCTTCAGAAGAAGAAAGGTACGGTCGCCGGTTGAAGTAGGCAGTCAGGAAATTTTTCCTGGCCTCATAAGTCTTGTGTTCATAGCTTCTAGGATCCAGAGCAAGCCCATCAGATTCAGCCTTCTTTCCAAAGATGGTGGAAGTCGTCTTAGCATCCTTGGCCAGCTTTATCCTCTTGGAGTTAGACATAGCCTGTGTTGATGGCTGCCTCTTAAGATAGCCAGCCCCAGAGGAGTTAAGTGTCAAGCCAGGTTTAAAGTTTTGGGTTGCTTGGTTCCTACCAACAGCCCTGCACTGCACAAGATGCAACGTAATTGTGGAAGCCACCATGTTGCTGGTGTACACCCCTAAGCAATGAATGCACTTGTACGTCATCTTTTTCTCAACTGGATGTATTGTTTGAAGGACTTGATGCCGTTCTCTCAGATGCATGGCCAAAGCATCGGAGATAGGCCCTTTGAGAATGGTGAAACACAGCGGACACACAGTCTTCCCAATCTCACTTGTTTGCATTAGTGAAGGGATGCTTCCTGCAAGATGTTCACTTTTCTTATCGGTCCCTCTAGGATCAGGTAGTTTGACAAGATGTGGAAGACTATTCTGAACAGGCGTCGACTGATCTTGACCATTGATGGGTTCCTTCATGTTAAAAGTAAGAACAGCAAGCTGTACATTACTGGACTTCTCTTGTTTAATGGTGAGGTCAAAGGTTAGAGGCGATGCACCAGGGGGTCCAATAAACTCCTCAGGGTGTGCCTGAGCTGTATGCTCCATAATTTTCTCAACATTGTGGAAAGCAGAGTGACATTGTGGACAGGTTAAGCCATGGATTAGCATGTGATTTAGCAGTGTATCACTGGGCAGGTAGCGGTTACAAAGCAAACATTTGCTGGTAAAGTTGTGGATTTTCATGATGTACTTGGCAAGCGCCCACACTTTTTTCGCCTTGTGTGCATTCTCAAAATGAGCACTGTATAAGTTTTCAGGAAAAAGCTCATTGCAAACTGTACATATCTTCCACTTCTGTGTTTGGGCTGTGTTTACACCAGTACCAGCATTTTCAACTGCTGTACTGTTCCTCTGTACTGGAACAGTGGCACGCACCTGACTGCCTATAATGGGAGACTGACTTTTAATAACCGGGCCTACTGGCTTTAAATAGCCAATTACTTGCTGTGCATTTGGTTCAGGTCTAAGTGTTTGAGGTCTACTGACAACTAGAGGAGGCTTCTGTGACATGACTGGTAAAGACTGAGGCTTGGAGACGATAATGTTAGCATGTCCAATCATGGTTGTTACTTGGGCACCAATGCGCTCATGGTACTCAATAACATGCTGGACCAGAGCCTCATAGGTACGAGTGGTAAACTGGCATCTTTTACAGAGGATGTTGTTGCCAACAACAGAGCTAGCACCATTTTTCACAGATGACTCAGAAACCATACCAAGATATGGTGAGACAATATGCTGAAAATGTTCCCTGTAGATGTGCCTTCTCACCACATTGTATAGCGTGTCCCGAAATGTGCATTTTTTGCAGAAATACATTGCTTTCTCCACACCGTTTCCCTGTTTGTATCTATCAAGATAAGCTTTCCCCAGCGCAGCTCCCTGTGAGCTTCCATAATTGTGCCGAGTTGAATTGGGTATGTGGAATATTTTAACATGCGTCTCCAAAGTTCTCTTGCTTGCAGTAAACGTGCAGTATGGACAGTTGAGCAGGATTTTACTGTCCAAGAGTTTCCTGTGCACATTACGGAAGTGATTCTTGTAGCCTGAGTAGAATTTGGAAGAAAATGGACACTCTGTGCAGCAAAATGGCTTTGATCTGTATTCCTAAAAAAAAAAATGTAAAAAAAATGATCAAAAAAAAAACAACAAAAACTTTGCATTAAGAAAAATATGCACATTAGTGCATGATAATGTGAGCAAGTCTTTCAGACAGGATAAAATCTTACCTGTGTTTTAGAGTATGATGGATCCCAGGCGCAGATATCAAGGCAAAGCGTGCCCTTCACAAACTGCTCATTAGGGCAAAACTCTTTGAACTCCTGCAAAAAATTGAAAATATTAAAGACCAACTCCAATGGAAATAAGTTTTTAACATTGTTACCATGTCTGTATAGTATTTGTATATGCAAGTCTTGGTTTTAAATTTGTATGCGTCCCCTCTAATCCCCCTTTTTTGTTTGGGTTTGATATAGGGTAATATGTTTCTGATTTCCCCCCCCCCTTTATTCTTATGGGGACTGGTACTGAATTTCCCTTTGTCAAGCCAGAGCGCTAGTGAGTGTATTTGTGAAAGGCAAACACAAAGAGGTTAGGGATTAGACTGCAAATTCATTCTCTGCAAACTACACTAGGCAAAGCTGTGGAAATGTATCCACACCTTTGGAGTCTGTCATTTTAAAGCTTGATGAGGCTGTTTCTAAAGACACACACACACACACACACACACACACACACACATATATGTATAGAGAGAGAGAGAACAAATTTGTTATCCTTATTACGTCCACCGATGATTAGGTGCCAATCAAAACTGCCTTAAAATCGTCACGTTGGTTTAAAACAAACACACTTACACCTTACTGAAAACCATCTTTGGGCAAGTGAGTGGTCTTTGGTCCATCAATGCTACCTTTATGTTATTCAAAGTTCTTATCCATCACATGCAGCTCAAAACACACTTGCTCACCTCTGCTGCCTCCTTGCAGAACTCAAGTCCAATGTCACCGAGGGCTTTTTTCACTTGTTTCCTGGCTCTCCTGATTCTTGTAAGATTGTTCACCGGGAGCTGATACATTATCTCCTGGCAGACAGATATGAATTCTTCATTATAACCTCAGGTACATTTATAACCTGTATCACATTATCCGGACTCACTAAGAGACAACACGCCCTTTCAGCACGTGTCTCCCTCTAGTACAGCGTGTTTATTATGATGGCATTGTGTGTTTCAGAGCTTCAGGGGTCCGGCACTGTTTCTATGGTGACGCTTCACTACAACCTTGTTTCTGATTGAGTGGTGGGTTTGATCAGAAAGCCTAACAACAGAACAGGTCCACGGCTTCTATTGTTCACCATGCACAGAGCTTTCGGGAATTACAGTTTTACAATACGTGTTAGCTTTGTGGGCTAGCGTTACAGTGTTAGCCAGATTTAGCAATGCCTACTGAGCACAAAAACTAGCGTTGCATAGCTGCTTTCTTTCCCTTTCATTGACTATATTTAAAGTTTTACTCACCTTGCAATAAGCCAGAAGAGTAACTTTACAGGGGTTATCTCACGACATTAATGGCTAAAATAAAAAACAGAGGGGCTGGCGGGACATGCAGATTGGCGGTGATGCTCCCCTCAACGCCGGTGCTCAGCAGCTCCACAGTTAGCTAGCCAAGCTATCTAGTTAGCTCGTTCATCTGCACCGCAGAGCTGCTAGCTGGGGGACGAGTGACAAAACACAGCGGTAGAATTGTGCACAGCTCATGAAAATAGTACACTTCGAAAATGGGAACCTCCAGGGCCACCTGTACTCCTCCAGTTCTCTGATTTTCTTGCACCGGAGGTCAGGCCAGCTTGCTGGCTAACGCGTTGATCAACTCTCAAACCAAAATGGCGACTACAAAAAGACGGAAGTCGTAGTCGCTGGGCTGGATTGACTGACCTGATTGTGCCGATTTCCCCCCTCAAATTCATGAAAACAATCTGGGCAATTTAGAACACTTTCCATGATGCAAGTCAGATAAACAGTTTAACAAGTGCATTTTTTAAGTTCCCCCCAAAATGAGCACATATCAAACGTAATTGCTGATTTTTTTTATTATTATTATTTTATATTTTTTTGCAGATGCAGTATTTCTATTCAAAGAGAGAGCCAGACTTTGATAATATAGCTACTGTCATTCCAGTGGTTCCATAACTTCCAGTACAACAGTGCGAGGTCCTGTCATCACCAGTCTGGTTACTGTCCTGTAGTCCAGGTAAAGAACACACTGTCCATTTACCTGGCACACAAACTGCCGCACCTAAAAATAAATAAATAAATACATAAAATATATATATATATATATATATATTTATTTTTTTTAAAGTTATGGATCCAAGATAAGTATCTTTTTCAGTTTGTTTCAGTTATTTAACCTTAACTCCAGCAGCTGCTGCAGGGCTTCCAGGGTCAACAGCCTGCATATAACAAGGAGCCATGCCTCTGACAACAAAGCCCCAGCCCAGGGCGTCTCCTATCACCTGCAATCTCAATCAGATAAAATACACCTTAGACTTTAATCTAAGAAGAAGAAGAAAAACACAACTTTATTAATGTGTTAAGCTTGTTTTGACTTTTTGACTTTTAGCCTTTAGGGGACTGTTGCTCAGGTATGCTAAATTGGTGCTATTAAATCCAATCAGAAATCTAAGTAATAATTTATACGTATAATTTTCATAACTCACCGTCAACACTTTCTTGATAAAGGGTGCACCAGGTTCCAATAATTCTTCACAAGTAACTTTTCTTTTAAGGACTGTGAAACCAATTAAAAGATTATGTCTATGTGCTTTCACAAACAAGCCTCATTACAGTAATATTTAAACTTTGATGATGAAACATTTAACAGTTGAATATAAATAACAAAACACTCGCCTGATTTAGGATTGCATCGTACTGCTGAGTGTGACAACAGCTGAAGAGGTGGAAATCCAGCAGAGTGAAACTGAAGGGAACTCAAGCTACTTCGACGAACACCGGTAATCTGTTTGGAGTCTTTGTTTGAGCTCACTATTAGATATTAGTGGCGACGTCAGAATTCATTAAAAAAAACAAAACAAGGTGCATGTTGTGAAAATTGCAAGAGTTTCCTTTTATTTCATGTTTACTCAGTAATTAATTAATTTATTACCACTGAATGCACGGTTGCATTCCTTGGATGAGTTTCTGCGTAGAAGAAAGGGACTCTCAGAATTGTTGTCCTCTTGTGTTGATGCCATCACAGCTTCATCATTAACCTGCTCATTTTCAGTTAACAGCTCAGACAGGCGCCGACGCCGGCGGAAATTGATGCAGAACTGGTAGAGTAGCCCACTGTCAAAGAAATCATGCTTTTGTCCCACTGCAGGAGTTGGGGAGAGAGCAAAAAGCAGCAGTCTTAGTATAAATGGTATCTATGCAGTGTGTATTTTTACTTTTGATTGCAAGAGTCCCAGATGGCAAGCCCACCACTGACAGCTGTACATCAAAGGGCAAATGAAAACTCCCCTCACCGTGCTGAATGATGCCATGCTCCTGCAATGCACGGCACAACTCCAGTCCCTGTCGCCGGCTATCTGCCTCTCCATTCTGAATGAGATAGTCAATCAACTGGCAGCCAGGAAAGGAGCGCTTATAAGTAACACCATGCTCCTCTCTCAGCTGCAGAATGGAGTTCTTGTCTGCTATGAGTCTATAAGAGAAAACAAAACAGAATCAGATTTAAAATAGCATGCAGTGGAGGAAAAACCTGGATGAGATACACCTTTATTGAGGTCTTTCAATTCTAAGATTAAGCTGATCTGTCTCAGACCAGAAAACTTGAAGCACAAACAGACCAGCTCTTACTGCTCATATAGTTGTTGTCCTCGCATGAAGATTTTCACCTCTGTGTTAAAGGGAAATGTGCCATCATCCTTGCGGAAACGGTACAGCAGTTTGGCATCCTTGAATTCTGCCCTCTTGTCACAGACTGAGAGAAAGGCAGTTTTAAATATAAGTCGTGAAAGCAACATGAGGACTTAGCTTCAGGTAAAGAAGAGGAATTAATTTCAGCTAAAGAAGGGAGAGCTTCTTTAGCTGAAGCGCTTGCTGGTGCTTCCTTCTTACCGTGGTGTAAAATGTCATGGTCCATGAGGTGCTGCATGAGGCTGGCAGCTGTTGCTCGATCTGCAGCTTCCTTGTGGCTCACAAGCCAGTCTATAAGCTCGTGTGCCACAAAGCAGTTAGGGTAGGTGCGAAAGTGGTAGCGTCGATCCTTAATCAGTTTTCCATCGTGAAGTCTGAGCCTTAAAGTGGCGTTTAAATCAGCCGTGAGCCTTAAAACTGACATCAGTCATCTACCTGACCTGCAGAGTAGAATTTGCCGACATCGTCAGCGAATCTGTTTCGTCTTACCTGAGCTGTTCTCCTGCGATCATGACTTCAGCCTTGTGTTGCCGGGCCATGGCCTTTAACCTAATGCTGCTCGTTCGCTCCATGCTTCTTATAACTGGACACAAGAATGAGTGAATCTGACTTTTAGAAATGGCCGTCATGTTTACCGAAACACACAGAACCCCATTGTCATGTGGGAGCAATGTTGTGTATACAGAAATGACAAAGACGTTTGTTTTTTTCTGTTTTGTTTCATTCGGTGCTACAGATATTAGTTTTTCATTTGGGTGTTTGGGTAAAACATCCTGCTCCAATTCTGAAGTACTTGAATTTAAATTATTTTCAGAGAAACACGGGGCTGTTTGCTTGAGTGATGCTTGATGTGTCCACCTAGGTTGTGTTTTCTATAACTGAAATCAAATTGTGTTGTTGTTTTTGTTTTAGTGTGTCATTCCTGAAATACTGGTAACATAAAACTGAAAAATACATCTATAAGTTACAGTTTCTTGGGCAACATTGTTCTTTTAGAGGTCACCTTACAGTTATCTCACAAAACAGGAAACTAGAAAAACACGCTTCGTATGTTGGTATATAGCCTAGCCTTCATCTCAAATAAAACAGCTGTATTTGAAGATTCAGGTCAATATCAATGTATGCATCAAAATATGTTTTCTCAGATACAGATAAAGTGGAGTTTCTAGGGCTATGATATTGTGTTGAAGTGTAAACTTGATGTTGCAGTGCCTAGAAATTCTGCTTTTTCTTTGACTTGACTGTTTTGATACATGCTTGTTATGGCAAAAGAACCGAAGTGCCAGCTTGTGACGTGCACTTAGGCTGTGAGCATCCTATCATTAGCACAAGCTATACCACAAAGCATCACCCCGGTCTTCTGGCGTGAATCCTGTTATGTGTCCCTGAGAAATTTTTGCTCAGTCACACTGTCTCCTCTCTTCCTCTCTTCCCAGCAAGTCGAACTCGCTGAAACAATGCCTGGCCGTTCTCAGGCAGCAATTTCTATTGGTTTTGGCTTGAGTCTTTTTACCTTGTCAGTAAAGCATTCACTATCATTGGAGTAAGCGCTGCCTGAGAGGGTCAGCTCAGGGCAGGAACATTACTTAACCCTTCAATATCCTGTGCGTTTGTGCTTTAACTCTGGTTAGCCTGGTATCTGTTATGTCAGAGCTGCTGCTGAGCTGCTGACTTCTGGTGGGATCCCTCAGGAACTTCTTTGTGATGAGGCTTTGCATCTGTAATACAGTCATATTCCCTAAAGATGTAGTTTGGTTAATTAAAATGGAAAATATATATGTATATATTTTAAAGTAGCAGTACCATTGTTTTATGCATCTAAAATGTATTTGGCCTTAAAAAATAAGCGGTGAAGACTGAACAAATATATATTTGTACATTAAAATGTGAGCTTCACAATTTAAATCTAATAACAGGAAAAGCAACAAAGCAGTGAATATACCATATCCCTATGAAAGCCACTGCAGTGTAGGCAGTTGGCCACAAGATATCAGTATTCACCTGGGTACCAACCAAGGAGCACAGCAATCACAGTAGGGTCAAATGAATTTTCTAACAGTATCCTGTTGTTTTCTTAATGAATAATGACGTATAAATAACCATAAATTCCTAAATTACCACAAACCAATTTGCAGCAAATTGTGACTGATGGAAAATAAATGTATGGTTCTATTATAGTTCACAACCAACATTAGTTTTTAATAGACAAATTCATTGCCGTATATTTATTCAAAATCCTTGAAATCATATCCTTATCGTTCAGACGATTATGTTTTGTTTTTATGGGTTTTTGTTTTTTTGTTCTCATGGCTCCAATTCACTTTGGTGCATAATTTTTCCTGTGGGGTGAATTGGCAATATGCGAAATAGAGGGCGGATAAAACAATAAAAATAAAGAAATTAAACACAAAAGACACTACAGAATGGAGTTTGCGCCTCTGAGCAGACCTTTATAGGCTTTGGTCAAGTGACAATCACGAACAGATCGTGTGGACTCGCTCGTAGAAGCTTTTATGCAAATCTTCCCTTTTTCATTGGAGAGCAGGGTGGAGGTGTAGTCTGAAAGCCGTGACATCACACAATGCAGCTTTATGAAGAAAGTGCGCTTCTCCTGAAAAGGCAGAGTTGCGTCCAGTCTGTTGGCATCACCGGACTTTTAAGTTCCTAAAGCCAAACAAGCTGCGCGGTGCGACGTCGCAATTCAACGTAAAGTTGAAAAAGGCGCTCTCCTGTTTTTTGCTGTGATTTATTTTTCACGAGTGGTGTTTTCCCCCTTTGTGATCGAAAGTTTGGAAATACTTCATTTTTAAAAAAAAATTATTATTCGGGTTTTGTTTTTGGGCTGTTTTTGTTTTGTTTTTTTTTACAAGTGACTGCGATTTCACTGGCTGCATGAAATATCAGTGGACATTTGGAGCTCTTTAAAGAGACCGGCTTTCCATTTACCATGACGACTGAGGCGCATTCACACTTGGGACTGCAGAAACCACCCATGGATTTCGTCAGCGACTATGACTTGATGAAGTTCGGCGTGAAGAAGGAGACGATGCAGGGGCTGGATCGCTCTTTCCATAGACCAGACTCCGTCTCCTCCACTCCTGGCAGCACACCTTGCAACTCTGTGCCTTCATCGCCAAATCTCAATCCTAACGACCACAGAAACAACGTCGAAAACAGCCAGTTCTGGATACCCAACAACGGGGGTTATCCTCAGCAAATGTACCCTCAGGCTTTTGGCCTGACACCCGAAGACGCGATGGAGGCCCTCATCGGAGCCACAGCGCAGCAGGGACACCCATCTGCGCCCCACGGCCACAATCCGCCACCTTTCCCGGCTGATTACGATGGCTACGGCCACCTAAACGAGCCTGTCCAGCACTACCCGGGTCTTCCGGGTCACTCGGACATGCAAGGTATGCCCAACAGCCACTGCCAAGACCCATATCTCAAAGATGACATGGGGTGCGCATCCCCTGAGTCGCCGGAGGCCCAGCAGGTCCTCGGTGCGCACCACCATCTCCAGCAGCAACACAACCGCCACGACAGGCGATCCAACGCCGAGATGCACTTCTCAGACGATCAGCTGGTGTCCATGTCAGTCAGAGAGCTCAATCGGCTTCTCAGAGGCCTAAGCAAGGACGAGGTGATGCGTCTGAAGCAGAAACGCCGGACCCTGAAAAACAGGGGTTACGCGCAGTCCTGCCGCTACAAGCGCGTGCAACAGAAACACATTCTGGAGCACGAGAAGACGAACCTGCTGTCGCAGGTCGAGCAGCTGAAACATGAACTCAACAGGCTGATCCGCGAGAGGGACGCATATAAACTTAAATGTGAAAAACTGTCCGGTGCAAACTGTTACCACGAAACAGGGTCTACCAGCGACAACCCATCCTCACCAGAGTATTTAATGTGAGTTTGTAGATTTTCTGCAGAACTGAATCTTTTCCATGTATGAGGGGTGGCATGTTGGCCACCTGGTCGCCTTGCTCCTTACCAAATAACTCCACGGATTTATCAAGTTTAAAAAAAATCTCGGGCATAAAGGACACGACTCAACTTATTGTAATAGATGCAACTAGGCAACAAGTAATGAATGGAAATTTGCGAATAAGCATGCATGCAGGACATGTATGAGATGTCTTTATTTTATACAGACATATCTGTATTTTGTCTCAGAGGACGTACTTGAAATCAGAGGATATTTGCTTTGAATAATTATGCAACCATATTGTTTTGCTTCACTTATTGTTTGATCTTCATTTTGGTGATTTTGCTTTGCTTTGCTTTTTGTAGCCAGGATTATATTTCGTGTTCATCCTTTCTTTATATAGAAAACATCTAATGTTAGAAAGCACACGTCTATTGTTTTTATGAAGCTGATTCTGCTGGACAGATGTGTTCCTTATTTGCTTTTCTTTTCAATGTAATACACAGTTATGCAAATAATTATGCAGATTTTCATTTTTTTCATCTACAATGTTTGTTTGTTGAGTTTTTTTTTAAATTCATCTACTATGGATCAATAAACCTATTGTGACATTTTAAAATCGTGTCTCATCTTCTCACGAGTAAATGTTTTACCCGCGTGAAACATTTACTTCCACTTGCACATTTGTCATCGTGGCTTGCTGTAGTTTTTGGAGACATCCAAACACATTAATAATCATATACACAACATAAAAGCAAAAAAAAAAAAAAAAAAAAAAAAAAAACAAAAAAAAAAACCAAAGTCTACTATTTGTACATGCTACATAAAATAAGGGTATCACAGTATTTCAGCTAGTGCATAGTGTGTATAAATATGAAAGTAATTTGGTTCATTTGCAACTGAAAGACTATAAGCACATAAACAAAAATCTAAATTAGAGCCAAGTTCACTTTCCTCATCATAATATTCCTATTTTCTTATTCTTCCAAAAAACAAATAAGAACAAAGTGTATTAGTTAGTTTCGGCGGATGAAATGAGGAGTGGCTTTCTCTCGTTCCCTGACCTTTGCCCATCATGGAGTACTGCTTCCTGTGGGACCCCAGCATGTGAAAGCGCAGGGCGCTAACTAGCCGGGGCTGTGGGGCACAGATAAAATGGAGTGGAAATCAGGCTTCCCTTCTCCTCTCTTCCTCGGACAAACACCTCTGCATTCATTAACAGAGGAAAAGAGAAACAACAACCACGGCACACTGCTCCGCGCTCTCTTGGCCAGCTTCAACAACTTGGTGTTTTGTTTTGTTTTAAATTTAAATCATTAGGAGAATTTCCTAATGAGGAATTTCCTAATCTTAAACTGATCATTCTCAGTTTAAGATTACAACAATATTTGAATGAGCGTGTAGTTCCAAGGCCAGGGTAATAATCTGTGATAAGTGGTTACATTGTAAATTGAGTTTATAACCTCTGTGATTGCCTCTGCCCAGAATATCTTGGAGAGTGTTTCACTGTCAGACGAGACTTTGTTACCGTCCTCCCTTTCAGTGAGAGTTTGGACTGGCAGGTGGCTCACTTTAGTCTGGAAACCAGATTGTCTTTTCATGTGTGACCCCCACCAACAGTTTTGACCTCACCCCTCTGTTAAAGCAAAGCAGGCCTGAAGTCACAGCACAGGTGCAAAAGCACTTTCTATCTGAAAACAGGCCTAATCACAAGAGCTCAGGATATCTAGACGGCTGCGGTGTTGAATCCTAATAAAAAGGGTTAATCTGTGGCTGTCATTTGTAAAAATGAGCCTATATTTGTGAACAATAAACAAACATGTGTGCATGAACACTTCACCTATTCAGATAGCTGCTCTCGAAAAACAGAGAAAATAAAATAATTGAATGAGTTGATTTGTTTCAAATCACTGATCAAGTGAGTGATTAAAATCACATAAAAATTATTAAAAAAATTATATAAAATGTATATTTTTCAGTGTGTAACTGCATAGTTGCGGTAGTGGAGATTTTTTTTTTTTGGTGCAATGCTCTTGTGATAATGTACACTTGCATGTTCTTCACACTGCGCACACTTATGCCTCTCACAAAAATGTGGTTTTTAGAGGAGAGTGCTTTGTTATCGGTTGTGTGTTTGCGCACTTGCGTACATCACACGTGGATTTCCAAGCAACAGTGGAATAATACAGTAGAAGTGTTGGTGAGGAAAGCGGTTTGTGGTACTGTGTGACAGTGCGCAGGGTGCCATTGTAGAAACGATTAGCCAGCTCTTTTCCCTCGCATGTGATAGGCTGTTGGGGCCTGATGTGGGAGCCTCGCGCTCCACCACCACCACCGCCGCCGCCACCCCCTCCTCTCCCCTCCACTCACCCCTCCCTGCCACCAACACCCTGAGCCCACAGCGCCTGAGGCTGGCTACTGAGTCAGCAGGAGGGAAAGGTGTCTGCACGGCTGTGGCATCAGAACAAGAGAGAAAGCAAATAGCAAGAGAATGATGAAGAGCAGTGAAAACGGCTTAGAACAGACATGCTTGCATTTTTTAAAAACAGCGAGAAGGAATGGCTGCAAGATGAATGATAAAGCATGCTAAAGAGGAAGCATAATCATGCCTATAATTTTAAAAAAAATCTCTACTGCAGAGGGCTTATTTTTTACACACACACGTTATTTCATAGAGTTTAATGAGACGCTCTGTCTTAATTTAACCAGAACACACTTTTACACCCACACAGAGAACCTGAAGGAATGGTGTGCAGTGGAAACACTCGGACGGATTCATCATAAGCAGTTGAATGTGGTGCCAACCTCTTGCCTGAGTGCTAGGGTTTGCCAAGACTTGGCTGTGTCTCAGACAGCGGACACAGACAGTGGAATGCTGCAGCTACTCACCATTGTGTGCATGGGAGAGGCACAGGAATGCAGGCTGCCAGGCTTCATACACTAACACAGCCAGAGGCCTCGAGCCATGAGGGAAGACCCAGCCAAAAAGACCCCACAGTTGAACATCACTTATCACTTCCATCTGTGATATTATACCCATTCTCCTCTTGACATTGTTACTTTGATCCAGCTCAACTGATTCTGGTGCAGCGTGACTCTTTCAACACTCAGTATCTTGTCGGGGGGGCTTCTGACTTAATGCAACAAAGCCGCTCAGAGATTAGATACCAAATGGATGTTTTGCTCAAATCAAGTCACAATCATTTGATCAACTGAGCAAATGTTTAAACACTGTTGATCAATCAGTGAATTCTACCTTTACAGTAATGATTTTCGCTAATCTTCCGTAGCTAAATGTCAGCTGGCCAGACGCTTGACCTCTGACCCCTCACCCCCAAATAACAAACCAGTTCCAGCCTGAGCCAGTTTTTTCACGGTTGTTTTGCAATAGCAAAGCCTCATACTGAGCGATCGTCGCTAAGAGCGACTTCACGTGAAGTGCAGAGCAAAGGCTGGGATGGAGGACAGGATGGACGACGGGCTTCCTCTTTCACTTCCTATATGAGGGTCCAGTCAAGTGACTCTCTGTGAGAGTGTTAGCCTGTGTGTCTCAGGAAAACGCAACTTCGATGGCTGTGGTTTCCGCTCAGGATGTCCAGTCGTTACTGCGCACAGTTGTGACACTGTGAATCATGCAGCGATCACACACGCACACAGGCATCTCCATGGACATAGCACACATAGAGACATGCGTATGCAAATCCAGGACTTTGCGTGTGCGTGCGCCTTCTTGCTCTCTCACACACACTTTTTTAAAATAAAATCATGTGATTGTGACGATCTTTTTTTTTTTTTTGGTCAGAAGTATATTGTCGTGGCTGCTGATTACAACAGCAGTCCCCCCCCCCCTGTTGCCACATCCTGAATGATTCCAGTGTAATTATGATTGTACTACTGGTAATGACTAAAGTTATCACATGATGGCCTCTGAAGGATTCAACAGAGTGGATTAATATGTAGCCCCAGGAACATAATAAAGCGGTCTTATTGGCGTAATAAGGAATCTGGCTTCCTGGGGACGTTGTGTCCAACGTGTTTGTGCATGAACTCTTGGGGATCTGATAGGAAGGCCCTCTGATAAAGTGCTTGTCACGTTCCAGTGGACACCACTGAGAGAAGTCAGACAAAGTCCTGTCACATTACAGACGGTGGACTTTGGTTACAGAGCAAAGGTGATGCACTGTATGTAATAATTATACAGGTTCCTCCCAGCATGACAGAACCATTATAAAACAGCCTGAGCTTGAGGGTTCACTGTAGTGCACAACAGGGGGGGGTAAATTAACTCTGCAGTTGATGTTAAAATTACTAATCATTTTACTTGCATGGTTAGAATTCCACATGTTAACTTTCCTTCCTTTCATGGATACGCATGGTTTCATGAAGGTCGAAGAGAAGAGAAGAGAAGAGAAGAGAAGAGAAGAGAAGAGAAGAGAAGAGAAGAGAAGAGAAGAGAAGAGTCTTTCCCTTTCAATCCCTGCAAGGATTTCCTGTTCTGTTTTATGGGGGTCATACAGCTGGCAGGCGCCCTCCTGTTTCTGTCCATAATGATGACAGGCATCCATTAGTGCACAGTAGAAACACGAGTCACCGAGGTTAAGTCAGCCCCCCCCCCCACGACAGCCTCTTCCCTTTCCACTGCGCCTGGACCCCAGTACACTACCTACCTATCTAGGGAAGATAATTGTAGCTCACAGTTGCTGTTGACAAAGCTTTGCTGATTAAGGGTCAACTGTTGCTCAGACACCAGTATGTTTAGCACAACCTGGAAAGCGGGTCCAGCCCCTGGGGACGTTATTGGGTCTCTGGTCTATAACATACTTGCATCCGGGAAAAGTAAAGGGGTCGCTCTGGTTTTTGGGAAGAGCCCAGCAGATGAGAAAATAAACACTTCTGGCTGTTGTTAGGAAATGAAAGACAAGAAACTGCTTTTTTTTTTTTTAGTGGGGGTGTTAAAGAGAGCAGGAGTTTCATGGTCTTGACCTCATATTTTACATTGTGCTTAGAGGAATGAGATGAAGAAAAATAAACAGTTCAAAATATATCCTTTAGAAAAATAACTAATAACTGTGGAGTTTAGCTGAATCTTTAGAGCTTTCAGAAATTACAGCTGTCACTGCACATGCATAATTCGACACCCTTCTTCATAAGTTTCTGTGGGTGTTGCTGACATGAGAGTATGGCTGTAGTGTCATACATTTGGTGAAGTCTAAGAGGCCTCCCTGGAATTGGGTGTGTCACTCTCCCACTAATGTGTCACGTTATCATCTCCCTTGTGTCAAAACTCTTCCTTCGTGTTTCACAGAAGGCCTTTGGCTGAGCTTAAAGTCATATTGTTTTCCCCTCTGGCTGATTTTAGCACCGCTGTCTGCATTATAAGCAGCTGGAGGACTTGGCAGAGAACTGTTCACACACCCACTCTTTGATTCTTTGGCCATCTTTGTCATCATGTTCGATGTGACGCCTCAGCTAAAATAACTGAGGAACAACCAACTGTGTGCTGTGGTTGGAGTGTCAAGGAGAAAAGCTTGTTATTGGGCAACCCAGAGCTTATAAGGGATCTATTTAAGGGGCTGCAGGCCTTTATCCTACAGTGAACCCATGTACTTGTTTGCTCTG